GATTTATTACGAAGACTATTAGTACAACTTTTATAACAATTATGAATGGGTAAAATTAATAACAATATATACATTATTAATTAGCAAAAACTAATTAAAATTTTATTTAATCGTTTATTTTTACTGATGTGTATTAAATTTAGAAAGTACATTAGGGAAAATAATTAAAATCCAAACACAACGAAAAATCTAAAAAATTGTTAAAATAAGATAATCAAGGGAAAAAAAAATCAAAGACATTGCAAAGAATTGACAAAACTTATACTAACAAACATTGAATGGATCTCCAAACACGAATGAGATTCATCAGAGAATCTGCATGTAACAAAGAAATGTACATCATTTGAAGAGAGGAGCGGAAACCCATTGACTTGCCTCATAGAAAATTTCGACATATTCAGTATCATCATGAATTAAACCCAAAGCATAACATGACTTTGAAAGTAGGGTGGACAACACCATTAATTGTTCTTGTATTTCTATAAAAACATGGATCGCGAACGACATACAATAAAACCCTCAAGAAGTAGGCTTTGCTAACGTTAGGGTTACAGTTGGCTATAATACTCGGTCTGGAGTTGCCGCAAAGACGGGGATGCCATTGACGTTTTTACGATCCCAAATCCAATGGGTCAAAAATTTAGAATACATATATGATATGTCTTCAGGATAGTCCTAATTAAACTTCAGGCAACTTGTAAAATTTATCATTGTAAACATCAGCAGAAAAATGTTCTTCTTCTGTAAAAGCGATTTGAGATGGAAGCAGATGATATGGCAAAATCTAAGGATCACGAAGTGGACAATTACTAATCTCTACAGAAAATTCATAAATTTTTTGAAGAAAAGAACTATTAGGCAATAGATTTACATAAGAAGATCGTCTAAAAGCAGAAAAAAAAGTTAAAGCACTATAAAAAAATATTTACCTGACGATTTTATTGTAAGGCGAGAGATGAAATATTCAATCACCAAACTATGAACTATAAAAAAATAATAGGTTGTCATTACGGAAATGCATAAATAATAGTATATATTGATTTTTTTAAAAAGACGTGGATAAATTTCTAAAAAAGATGCTAGACCTTAGAATACGGATGTTGTATGTAAGAAAACATGAAGACCGAGAGAAGTATATATATGATGGATACATTAGGGTTTTAGGTTAGTACCGGCTTTGGTATCGGTGGTCCATAACCAAAATCAGTGGTTAGGGCTAACTTCGAGATCAATGGCCTATAAACAAAATCACTGGCCCATAATCGAAGAAAAAATTCATGTCACGGGTATTTACATGTAGGATTAATGATCAACCTATCAGAACTAATTAAAACGCCACATACTTTTTTTTTATAATGACACATAGGATAATCACTGTGGAGACGACACATCAGATTTTTATCCATGCCACATATATATACACATAAGATTAATGATCAACCTATCAAAATTAATTAAAACACCACATAATTTTTTTGATAATGACACATAGAATAATCGATGTGGAGACGACACATCAGATTTTTGGCCATGTCACGGATATTTACACATAGAATTAATGATCAACCTATCATAATTAATTAAAACACCATATATTTTTTTTAATAATGACATATAAGCAAATCGCTCTGGAGACGACACCTAAGATTTTTGATTTCACAAATACTAGTATAATAAATAATAGTATAGATAACTTCTCCAAAAACTGTTACAAATATTCATTCAAAATCATTAAAGATAAATCATTTAGAAGATTAACCACAATGACATTTACTCATAATTTTTGCATTAACTACACAAGGGAATATAATCAAATGATGAAACACTTACATATGTAGATCTTTGCTTGGAGTTTTGGACTGGGATTAGCTCTCACAACCAAAAGAAAAAACATCTTCTCCCGATTTTTATCTTATTATTTTTGAAAAAAAGAAAATCCAACAGTTGTTTCATATTCTTTGTGCAAAAGTAGCAATGTCCAAATGATACCTCAAAAAGCATCTAAAATAACATATTACTCTGCAATTTAGACCACTATTGAATTGCTTCAAACATGTGTAACGTATATAGATACACTCGATTAACTATATGCAATTATTGGCATATTAAAAAAACAAAAAACAAAATATCAGGCACCACTAAATAAAAACCACAAAAAAAAATAAAATAAAATAAAAACCACAATTTTTTGCTATTAAAACAAAAAAAAAACAACTTGACATGTTTACATATGATGGCCTCCCACATTCTTATGTGTAACATCTAGAAACTTATTTTGGAAAAAAAATTATACTATGCAAATAATAATTTGGTCAAGCATGCATATGTAATAAGTATGTAACGCATGTTTCTAATTTATAATCAGTCCAGACGACTAGCTATAACCATTGGCTGGTTTTTTACAACGGTTATAGCTAATCGCCTGGACTGATTAATTGATTATGTAATATCAATTTTTAATCAAAAAATTAAATAAAAAATAAGTGTAACAATCTGTGCGATGCGCAGAATATCATCTAGTAACAAAAGAAAGGAGAGAAGATAATTATTGATCTTATGAAATATTAATTAGTTTTTAAATTTTGGTTAATAATACCACTCAGGTTTATTAAATTTGGGTTTGATTCATGTTTGGTTTAGTTAATTCTCATGTTCGAAAACACGGTCATCTAGGCACAAGTCGGAGGGTGACCGCAGCGATTAGCTCCTCGGCGGTTCAATCAACGGTCAACCGCATTTTGTGGAAAGTCAACATCGAAAAAAAAATCAGTTGCACAATTCAAAAAAATTGGTAGAATAAAAGTGGATTTCAAAAAAGGTTTGGCCTAACAATGAAAAACAGATTGATGCCCAAAAGAACTCAACATTATTTTTCTCTCAAATTAACCTCTAATCTGCTTCATCAAAGAACGCTAATCTGCTTTATCGAAGCTAATCTGCTCAATTTCGTCCATATCGAGTCAAAATCAACAGAAATCAAAGCACATTGAGACAAATCGACAACAAATCAATGTCTGTAAGTTCTTAAACCCCTGTGATCTTATTTGATTGAGTCTTCTTCTACAATGTGCTCGATTTTTTTCTAGATGTAAATCTTTTCAGATGGATAAACTTAAACGATCCAATGAATCCAGATAAAGTCAAATGCATACTGTGTGGAAAGGAATTCTCTGGTGGTGTGCATCGATTGAAGCTACACATTGCGCACAAAAAAGTGTGGTGTCTTCATGTCCAGCATCGAGTAAAGAGGATCAAGGGAAGTGTATGAAAGCACTTAATGAATCAAAA